CAATGGATTTAAATTGAAAGAGGGCAGATTTTGATTAGATATAAGAAAGAAATTCTTTACATTGAGGGTGGTAAGGCACTGGAACAGGTTGCCCAGAGAAGTTGTGGATGCCCCATCCCTGGAGGGGTTCAAGGCCAGGTTGGATGAGGCTTTGGGCAACCTGGTGTAGTGGAGGATTTCCCTGCCCATGACAGGTGGCAGGGGGTTGGAACTAGATGATCTTTGAGGTCCCTTCCAACCCGAACCATTCTATGATTCTATGATTCTATATATTGCCATGATATTGTGTTGGTTTCTATTATAATACTGTTGCTGTCTTATTGCAAACCATGTATATCCCCATCTCATTGCGTTTTGATACATGCAATCTTAAACCCAGAGAGACTGGCCTAACATTAAAATTACAAATCTAGGAGACTCTAGGGTGGAATTTGACAAAAAATTGCCTTTCTGTAGCGCACAAGTAGAGATTGTCACTGTGTCCTGTATAGGAGATGCAGGCACACACCGGTAGTTACTCTCAACTGATGTTTTGATCCCCTGGCTTACCCTAAGGTAGCAGGTTCATATATCCAGATTTTGAATATGCTAATATATGTCATATATGCCAATATTTTCTTAATGAATAACCAGTTCGGATTTTTCTTTTATTTTTGGTTATCTTTAATAGTCTTCTCATGCATGTGTCACTTGACAGAAGCAAGCAATAAAAGTTTAGCTGTCACTGTTCAGCCGATTAACAGTAGTTCACAGCACTGTTTTCAGCAATCTGAGATTTCTATGGAGATCATCCATTTCTGTCAAACACTGCAGAAAATTTGAGATCAACACAGCATTGCAAATGTTAGTTTTTAGCAGTGACTCGAAAGAAAAGAGATTAATTAGCCCGTTGTAGGTTTAATAATTTATAGTTAACTTCTATAGCTGTAGTTGAATGCTTTGAAAGAAGCATGTATTGAATAGAACCTCGAACTGTAGCACGAAATATTTTAAAGAAAAAAATGCATAAATTTTTCCATGTTGCTGAAAACTGTACAACATTCAGGGCAGCCAAGGTATTTTGGCCTAAGATGCTGCAGCACAGGCATTTAAAAAATTATCAAACCTATTGTGGGTTTGGTAGTAAGATACATCAGTTACATTTTGGCCACAACCTCCATCTAAATCAGCTGTCTTTTAACTAGTAAGAGGTTGAGTAAGTTGGAGAGCCATCCTTGTTGCATGTAACATTCCTCCTGGAACAAATGATGCAGGTCCCTGCATCTGTCTTGTGACAGTGTACTCTGCATGCTAAATTATGATAAATTGTCACGAATGTCCACATAGCTATGAGTCACTACAAACTATAAGTGATAAGATGGGTTGTCTATGGTGTAATTTCTATCTATGTATCATGGTAAGGGCTTCATTTTTATTTCCTCTGCAGTAGATGTAGACGCTAACCACCTTAAAATAAATTTGAGAAGAGCAGCTTTTGGTGTTAAAAGCTACAGAGACATGAACAAAAGTTTTAGGCAAAGAAATGTATATATTGTGACAAGAGGAAAGGGAATTGAAGACAGTGTGTTTCACATGGATGTCTCTGGTTCGATGCTTGCTGCCCTGGCAGCTGTAGTTTTTCAAAGCTCTGAGGTCTTTCATTTTTCTGTTAGTCTGACTTTTTTTTCTAAATGCTCTGAGTTTGTTTTCTTTGCTGATCTCTCTTCTGAGATCTTTCTCTGTTCTCTTTGTCTCTGTTTATCTGCTTATTTTTTCATCACTTGTCTTTTCAGTAATGCCAGGCCACAAACACTGAAATCTTTTACGCTGTCATTGTAATATTCACTGACACTGCTGTGTAATGATAGCTTTAACCTCACTACTGTATTTTCTGAACCTGAACTTTCCCTGACTCTGTTTACTTCCCATGTTTTGCTTCTTTACATATGCTTAGGGCACCTCATTTTCTGAGAAGCTGCAGATTCCCAGACTACTGTAAGACTCCAGCACCTACTGTACCAGATTCTTAGCCTTTGACAGTTTCTTAGTAACAGTAAACAGTGCTTTGGTGAGAATAATGTCTATGCAAGAAAAAGATGAAGCAAGCATCTCAAAATAGATAGCTTCATTTTGAAAGAGAGCAAAATCAGCTGTTAAAATGTCCAATTGAATTCACTGCAACTTACTGCAACAACAGTGTTTTCTAAACGTTTGATATTGGCAGTGAGGAAAATAAGTTCTCGTGTGTGTTTTTCGCTGTAGTGTTTGTGATGTAATTCCTTTTGCTTCCATGTAGTAGTATTGTCAGCAGGTAAATAGGTTGAGGAGGAACAGCCTTAACCAAGACTTGGTTGTATTCTTCTTAGCCTATCACTCTACTCATGGAGTCATCAGATGCAATGAATCTTGCTTGCCTAACAGCTGGATACTATAGACTGCTGGTTGACTCAAGGCGCTCAATATTTAACATGGCCAACAAGAAAAACACAGGGAGCCGAGAAACAGGTATTCATTGCGCAGAATGTTAGCGGTGGTCCAATGTATAAAACAGAAGCGAGCTTAAGCCAGTGCACTGCGATAAACACAAGGCTATGCCAAATGAGACCTGATAGCTGGCTCAGACCTGGCACCACAGTATGTCAGTTCAGCTTTATAATGTTCTAATATTCAGCCTATGGTAGCATCTTGATGTTAAAATAAACCAGGTGATGAATTTCTTTCATACCATAGTGAAACAGATGCATGCTCCCTCTGAGTGTTACTATTTTATATGCATATATCTTTTGTAAGAATACATACGATGTTGGAGAAACCAGCTGGGGGTTTGGTTTTCTGTTACTATTCCTCAAATAGCATTGGTACCTAGTCGAGGTTTAGTTTTGTACTTGAGTACAGAAGTACCAGTTAAACTTTAGGTCATTAAATCAACAGGTATTTAACTTAGGGCAGGGGTGAGTTTGAAAGTGCTTTTCTGGAGCGTTTGTCAGCCCAGCTGTCCTGTTCAGAGAGTTTATTGCTCAGTATAAACAAGTCATTGTTTAAAAATTACACGACTTTGCTGCTCTTTGATTTCACAGTGTTGATTTTTATTTCACCATGTTATAGGAACTGAAAATAGAGGGAAGCATAATTTTCTTGCTTCTGAGTGGAATTGTATACCAAAAACTACCACTTTCCTGGCTGAAGGAGATCAAGAGACTCAAATGCCCTTTGGTGATCCAAAACAGAAGACTGTAGATGTTTCTGAAAGTCTGTTATGTCAAAAAGAACACAGACATCTGTACATAGAAAATACTTATAATTCGGGTGGATTTGATCAGCATCTGGCTAAGCAAAGTGACCCCACTGAAGCAGAAGAAAGCAGAAATTTTAATCAGCCTTCTCTGCTCTCGCTCTCAGGTTTGGAATCTAGCAAGAAAGCACAGGATTCCCCCAGGGGAGCAAAAGTTTCCTTTATATTTGGAGATCACAACTTGGATGGTATCAATCCCCAGACTCTTGGCTATGAAAGGCTTTTGGATGAAAGTCCAGAAGTACTAGAAAAACAAAGAGCCATTTATATTAGTAATGCCAATGACATTAAAGGCCTGGAGTTGACACCGGATGCTGAAAGCATTCAGTTTGCTACAAATTCTGTTTACGCAACTATAAACGACGGTAAAATATTTGGAGCTGCGGAAGGGATAGAAGAGCCTTTGCTGCATGATATTTGTTATGCAGAAAACACAGATGATGCCGAAGATGAAGATGAAGTAAGCTGTGAAGAAGACATTATGGTAGGAGAAATCAATAGGCCTGCTCTTCTCAGTCTTTCTGGTTCTAGTGATGACATTATTGATTTGACGTCACTCCCACCTCCAGAAGGTGATGATAATGAAGATGATTTCCTATTGCATACCTTAAACATGGCCATTGCTGCTCCTCCACCTGGCTTCAGGGACAGTTCAGATGAGGAAGACTCTCAGAATCAAGCAACGCAGCCTAGAGACAACAAGGAGCAAGCCAGTAATCTAGGCAATGATGACATTCCGGTGTCGCTTATCGATGCTGTCCCTACTAATACAGAGGGGAAGTGTGAGAAGGGGCTAGATGACGCGGTAGTCTCTACACTTCAAGCACTAGAAGCTTTGGCTGCTTCAGAGGAACAGCAGACGAATGACAATTCAGGTTCTTTCACCATAGTTACATTTATTCATTGAAAATCATTCCATCTCATCCATCTAGCTTTGGAAATGCTCCATTTCATGAGGGTTGGTGTTTTTTTTGTGTTCCTTTTTTTTTTTTTGGCCATCATTTTTCATACATCATATTCCATTTTCTTTAATGGAACTACCATTGTGTTACTAAACTACCTGTCCCGGGAACTGTGCAATAAAGTCAGAATATTCTTACAAAGCATATTTTTGTCTCTAACACACCCTCTTTGCTTGTCAGTTATCCAGGTGCTTCAGCTGCTGTCATTTAATTGACTCTTGTTATTTTTTGTGGCTTGCAGGTGTAGCTATCCTGCGAGCATATAGCCCTGAGTCATCTTCAGATTCTGGCAATGAAACAAATTCTTCTGAAATGACTGAAAGCTCTGAACTAGCTGCAGCACAGAAACAGTCAGAAAACACTGCACGTATGTTTTTGACCACAAATGAAGGCTACCAACCCCTTGTGGAAGAGCAGACTGAATTTCCCATTGCTAAGAATCAGGCTGGAGGGCCAGGCATGAAGCCCTCACAGCCTTTGGCTGGTCGTCAGGCTGCAGAGCTACAGTCAAAAGTTGTGCCTTCAAAGCAGATTCTTCATTCAGATAACATGGAAATGGAGCCAGAGACCATGGAAACAAAATCTGTCACTGATTATTTTAGCAAATTGCACATGGGATCCTTGGTATATTCTTGCACTAGTAAAAGGAAAAATAAGATGACAGACAGCGAAGTAAAAGCACCCTCTGATGGTAACGCTACTGTGAAAAAGCAACAGGGAACTAAAAAAGCAGAAACTGATGAAGATCTGAAAGCTAAATTTGGAACTCTTTCAGCAAGAGACAGTCAACGCCTAAGCACTTTTAATGTGGAGAGAACTGCCTTTCGCCAAAGATGGTACGCTGCCGATGATGGGGCAGCAGATAAGCCAAGCCCAGAGACAGTGAATGGGAAGACTTTTCCAAGAAGTGCTGTCCTTGGTAAAACAGAAACTGACTGTAAAGATGAAGTGGATCCTGAGGTGGATCAGGATGATACCTCAGGGCTTAGCCAAGGTGAAAACTTTCTGTCAGATATGACTCCCATGTCTTCAGCCAAAGACCTAAATGATGCAGAAGATACCGATTTATCTGCAGATGACCATCCTTCAAAGCTTCCAGAAGCTGAGCAGAGTGTGGCTAGGCTGTGTGAATATCACTTGGCTAAGCGCATGTCATCTCTGCAAAGTGAAGGCCATTTCTCACTGCAGAGCTCTCAGTGCTCTTCAGTGGATGCAGGATGCAGCACAGGCAGCAGCACATGTGCGACCCCCGTTGAATCTCCTCTTTGTACCTCTGATGTTAAGCACATTATCTCTGACCCATCAATGAAGGGCATTGCCTATATTCCAGCAGATGAAAGAGCTGCCATTCTTCCAAACCATGGAACAACATACAAGGACCTGCACCAGCAGCCTGAAGCTGTGTGTCACAGAATGACGGTGCCTGTCGTGCATTCAGCAATTAATGCTGAACCACTGTTCGGCACTTTGAGAGAAGGATGTCATCGGATCCCCAAGATAAAAGAAACTACAGGTACAGCAGTAATAAAGTGTTTCTTACGTTTGTTTTTAAAGCTATGTATAAAGGTGGAGGACTAGGTGTGATATCTAGATTATCTTTACCTGAAACTACATTATCAGGCTGTAGCAGGCAGTGGGATTAGACCTTCGGTGTACCTGTTCATTTTAGTTTTATGTGTTGAGATGTTCTTATGAGCTACTTACAAAGACCAACTTTTTCAAAAACCTCTCCATACAGTTAAAAATATTTGGGGAGACACTGATGGAGAGGCCTCTCTTCCACTTTCTGGAAGACTGTCCAAAATCCATAGTCACTTGAGTTCCAGGATACTTGTTAGACTATAAAATGACTTCACAAGGTATATTAATGTGGGAGAGAAAAAACTGTGATTCATTTATTATGTACTTTACATGCTGTTTTAGCAGATTGTCAAAACCATGCCAGTATGAATAAAAAGCCCTAAATGTAAGGATGAGAAAATGTCACTATCTTATCAAGCATGTATTTACTTTGCCATCTGACAGTAGGTGTTTCCTTAAAGAATAATTTACATACAGAACCATTACCGCATTATTAAGTTCAAATTTCAAAACATTTTATGAACTTACTGTTACAAAAAAGGCAGTTTTTTAGAGATAGCATTGGAAATTCTTTCAGTTGGGTTTCAAATATTTCCCTCTTTCTGGGTTGCAACCCACGTGTAGCAGTAGTGTGTGAATGCTTTAAAATCCAAAAGTGGAACAGGCTAAGAGCTAGAAAGAGAATTACTATTTCTCTGCCAAAAAAAACCCCACATAACTAAACCAAAATTACGATGAATGCATCTTTCCATATCCTCTCAGGTATAGTTAAAGAAGGTATTTTAATCTGAAAATATTAATCTAATTAGTTAATAGAAAATATGCAATCCATGTATTTGGGGAGATTTAGGATGTGTTATAGATAATTCTCTATTCCTTTTTTTAGATGAGTTTGCTGTAGTGGAGTGAACAATTAACTATACATAACTGGTAATTTGTTGATAGATTTTAAGAGGCATCTTAATGAATTACAAAACGCATGAGAAACTAGCAATGAATTTTTTGTGGAATATTTTGAAGAATGGAGACCACTGGGAAATACCAGGAACCCATTTGTCCTGACTGTTAAAGATATTTAAAAGTTCAGTCTCTGAATATTATCAGGGTGATGCTTAATTATTCTGTCTGCTCTTCTACTACCCCTAGTGTAGCTTTCACAGAGCCTGAAAAGGGAAGACAAGGAGGCATGCCTACAGCTTTTCCTAGACAGCCTCTAGCTGACTCCATCATGCTATCATCCATGCTATCAGAATCAAAGGTGCCAAGTCAAAATCAAGACTCTTGTGACATTCCCAAAGTAAATCAGGCTTGTGGGGCAACAGTTAGTTTACGGCCATATGACATGATAGGAGGAAGCCTCAGGATGCCGCACAACAGGAAAGTGCTGAGACGCAGCAGCAGCATCATTGGAGGATCTGCAGGCATTGAGATGCTGTTTGAAAAGAAGGCTGCCGCAGCCAGCTTGAAATGCCTGGACATCACCCGAAGGGATGAATCCAAATCGGAGAGAAGGGTGGAACTCCCACTGGGCAAAAAGCTGTCAAAAAGTTGTTCCCAGAGTTGTGTGTACGTCAGCACTGATATGAAGGACAGTAAGAGGTGTTCGGGCACAGGTGCCAGTCAGAAGGACTCCAAGCCGTGTCGAACGTTGCCCTTGCGGAAGCTGGACACCAGCACCTGGAAGTGTCGTGGCCCCTTTAGCTATTGTTTCCTAGGCAGAGGAAACGATGACAACGATGATGAAGATGATGGAGACAGCCATCAGCTCTCACGTCTCTTCGAACCACAGATCCTGTGCGAGCTCACAGAACCAGTCGGTCAGTCGTTTTCCAGTGAAAATGAGCAGAAAGTCTTGGAGTCCCCAAAAGCTGCTGAGCCCCCGCAAGACGAGGCAGTCAACACGCATGAGAAGAGCAGTGCTGACATCCAAGGTGGCCAAATTGATGTGAATCTCAATGACGTGGCCTTCGATGCACGAATCACACGAATAAATGTGATGAAAGAGAAGACGTATACAATGCCTGATGGATTTATTGCAGCACAAAAGGATGCCAATGAGCTACTCTCACTGGTCCGAGCAAGTATGGGCAAGAGAGAAGATTTACATCCAGAAACATATGACCTTAAACTTTCTAAGTACAAACAACTGTTATCTATGGAATCGAGACAGTTGGGAAGTGCCTGCAGGAAAATGGCCATGGCTGATAAAAGCCCTGAGGAAATGCTTTTAGCTATGACTTCCAGCTTTCAAGTACTCTGTTGCTTAACAGAAGCCTGCATGCGTTTAGTTAAAGTCATGAACTCTGAAACACAGCAGCAGGAAATTATAGCTAAGATAGACGAGGTTGTGATAAACTACATTTGTCTTCTGAAGGCTGCAGAAGCAGTGTCAGGCAAGACCTCCGGTGATCCTAGCATTAAACTCTTGGCTCGACATTCAACTACCATGGCCGCTATTGTAAGCACACTAACACGTTCTCTTAAAATGCTTTTAAACAAATAAAATACAAAAGTCACTTCATAATCTACCTTTGCAAAGCCATACATAAAAAACTTTTATTTACTGTACGTGTATGAACTAATGTAACAAACTCAGCTTTCTCTGTATATTTTGTTATTTTGTATAAAATAGGTATGAGATTAAAAAAAAAAAGTTAAAATACTGAACAATGACAAAAGTAATGACCAGACCTGTCCTTCTGTTTATACAAAAACAAAAGCCAAAAAAACCCTCTCCCCAAGACAAGAAAAACAGAAAAAATCCCATGTAGGAGCAAATCGATGTTTGGCTATTTTTCATATAGTCAAATTTATGGTTGTATGAAGTGAACTTTTAAAGCCTGTTGTCAATTAAGTTGTTTTCTGTTTCATCCAAGTTTCCACTTGGAGAATGCTCCATGTTTAGAAATGATAAATTCAATCATAATGTATATAACACAATATTTAATGTTTTAAAATTATAATTTTTAAGCATTGAAAATAGCAAAAAGACATTTAAAATCCAAGAGACTATTATAACTTACTAGAGAATATATATATAATAAATGACTCTTTTGTTCATATGGCCTGAATTACCTGATTCTTCTTTTCTAGGAAATTCTGTACTTTAAAAAAAAAAAAAAAAAGTATTGAAATACCAACTTCAGAGGGTATCTGATGTATTTATTGAACATTAGTGTTGGCTTTTCAGATAGTGAAGATAACCGTGGAAGACTGAGGACACACAGAAACCAGAGTGGTGGTGGTGGTCTCTCTGAAATGAAAGGTTGATGCCATACTGGTCAGACCAGAATGTATAGGGCAGGTCTACACACTCCTTTCCCTGGTAAATGAGAGAGAGGACCATCAGGAAATTCCTATGCTGTTTACTGTTTCATCATATATCTATGGTGCATCTGAACAACATGAACTGCATCTATTTTGTTAAATATTTTATACTTCATATTTTATGATTCTGAATGTTTAACTGTAAATAAGTTAGAAATAAAATGACGTTTTCAGAATACAATAAATATCTCTGAAATATTTCCAGCTAGAAACAGTTCTTCTCTGAGTGATGACAAAGGCAATTTGTGAATAATCTCTCCCATCTGAACCTTTCTGGAAAACATTTTGTAGTCTTGTGTTTGAGAGACACCCAAAGCAAAAGCTCTCAGTGTCACCTGGCAAATAGGCTTTCACAAGAGCATCTGTTAAACTTTTCAGTCACTGAGGAGCAGCAGCCTTTGTGGAAAGTGCGGAATACCATTCTTCAAACTTATGTAGGTAATTTTCATCTGTTTCTCATAATGTCACATGCAAAGAGTATAACTGCTCTGTTTCGAAAACTTACCTGTTCACTTGAAGCATACAGGAAGCTTGCTGTGCTGAAGTAGAAAGACTAAACAAACAAAATTATGTTTTGCCAAGGAAATATTTTCTTGCATAGACTGATGCGTTTCACGATGAAACCAAGACATGCTTTTCCCTCCAACTGCAGAGAAACATCTCCATAAACACAGTATGAGAAGCTTAGTCTTTTGTCCATAGGAGAAGAACCTGGTTTCCAAGACCAAGTCACTTAGCGCGTGGACCCACTCTTGAGGGCAGCTCAGAGGGAGGCTGCAGGGCTCAATTACGTTGGTGGTGGGTGACAACAGCCTGTCCCATGTGGTACTCACACTCAATGCTGTCATTCTGGCAGCTCTGGCAGTGGGGTTGTGTGCACTGCTCTTCTGCTGCAAGTACCAGTTAAATTCTTTTCTTTTTTGAGTATTTCATACTGGGGAAAAAACAACCTGAGTTGTTGTACTGGTATGTATTCCTTAGCTGCTTTGTGATTTTATGTAAAAAATGTCATCTGTGATTTTAAAATACTAAGTTTCAAAAATAGATTTAGGATTATCACAACTAAACATCGACACAGATCGTAGGGGTGTGGCACTTTCAGGTTGCTAGTTCAGTTCTTTTGATTCCACTTCATTTTATAAATTGATCTAACTTTATTTCAAAGGTAAGTAGATTTTTGTTGTCCTTACTGTTTAAGAGCTTTTCTGATTGTAAACGGGCTCATTTCTCTTCCTAAGGTTAAGTGTGGTCTTTTTTTTGTGGCAATATTTTTAGATTTAACTATTGGGTTTTTTCCCCCTCCTTTTTAATGCATTTTCAAAGACTCATAGAATAATTTGGGTTGCAAGGGACCTCTGGAGTTCATCTAGTCCAGCCACTGCTCAAAGCAGGTCTAATCAGATCAGGTTGCTCACAGCCGTTTCAAGTTGAGTATGGGACACCCTCCAAGGATGGAGGTCCCACAACCTCTCTGGGCACCTGTTCCAATATTTGGCAATTCCTATGGTTAAAAAAATAAGAATTCTCTATGTCTAATTGGAATTTTCTGTGTTCCAACAATATCCATTGCCTTTCATCATATTGCACCCTTCAGAAGAGTTGAGTTCTGTCTTCTCTGGTATCCTTCCATCAGGTAACTGTAGGCTGCAGTAAAGTCACTCCTGAGCCTTCTCTCCTCCAGACTGAATAAACCCAGCCTCATCAGCCTTTCCTCATATATTGTGTGCTCAAGCCCTTGGACAGCGTGGTGACCGTCTGCTGGACTCGATGGTGTGACTTCGTAAACTGCCACGGTGTTCCTCTCTCAGTTCTGATAAATAGAATCATCTAGCGAAGCTCTCCGAGTCGCCTCTTAGAAGGCAGCTTCTCTTTTTCCCAGAATTTCAGCTATCCCCATCTGGTACCATGTGAACGTCTTTTTCTTAATCTTTCCACACAGAATTAGATGCAAGGTTTTAAATGCTGCCTTATGAGGACTTTGTACAATGAGCACAGCTGCTGAAAACAGTTTGTCAGCTGTCTCCTAGAATCACATGTATTCACAGACTTTTTAGGTTGGTGCCTCAACAGTCATCCTTTGTCAGTAAATAACTTTATCTTTCTTCTGGGCTTCAGATAGATCTTATTGTGGCCTTTCAGTACTTAAAGGGGGCTTATAAGAAAGCTGGAAACAGACTTTTTAGTAGGACCTGTTGTGATAGGACTAGGGGTAATGGTTTTAACTAAAAGAGGGTAGATTTAGACTAGATATAAGGAAGAACTTTTTTACAATGAGGGTGGTAAAACACTGGAACAAGTTGCCCAGAGAGGTGGTAGATGCCCCATATCTGGAAGTGTTCAAGACTAGTTTGGATGAGGCTTTGAGCAACCTGATCTAGATGTCCCTGGTCATTGCAGAGGGGTTAGACTAGATGACCTTTAAAGGTCCCTTCCAGCCCAAACCATTCTATAATTCTATGATTCTGCTTGTCCTGTCAAGGTAAGGAGATCCCTGGATGATAATAGAGAGAACTGGTAGTAATTCTGAAGTGTATGACCTTGCACATCAGTTGCCACTGGATTATAACCTATTTCTGTTAATCTTCAGCATTAAGGTGTCCTTGTCTTCCTGTGTAGCATCCTGTTTGATTCCTGCATTAATTATATGTCTCAACTTCATGTCATCAGGAAATATCATCAGTATGTACCTACTTCTTACACTAAGTCAGTAAAGAAATAATAAATATGGTACTATCATCTGGAATATACTGTACTTTTATAAATTTTTATATATACACTGTATGTTTAGTGATTTTTTAACTTGACAAAATGACAGACATCTTCATGTTTAAGTCCCTGAGTTCAGTCTATTTTCTAAAATAATATTCAGCAAAGTCTGTCATTTTGAAATTAAGAAACAGAGTTGCATACCTACATTTCTTTACCTTCTGTTTAATTGAAACTCAATCAATTCGTGATCCCTGGAAGAGCCAGAATGGTCTATGATGTCCTCACTGCTCACTCTCTCTTACACTAGCACATTATCTGAAGCTGAGAGATGAACTCCTGACTAACTTGGTAACTTACACAATTTATGTCTAAGAGAGACCCTATGACTGCACTGAAATCCAGTTAAAGTTAGCAGTATTTTATCAGGGATTAATTTGGCTCGATAGGGTATAAATGTAGCATTGTAGCAGCGTATGTTAAAACCCAGAGCCTTGTTGCACTGAGCACTAAACTGGTGCAAAGTGAAAACTTGGTTCATGTCACAAGTAGCTGATTGCAGATCACATGGCACTAACATTAACCAGACTTTATAATTTGCCACTCCGAGTTCAGGAGTAGCTGTTCCGCACAAAAAGAATGATTGCAAGCTTCCACTGCGCTACCTGTGCAACAGCCGTGGTGTGCTATCAGATTTGGCCAAAGTGATGGAGAGCGTGAAGCACTCACCATTAAAAAAATATACAATAAGATAAAATAAAATGAAATGGTAATTACCTTTTCCTGTAAGTGTTCTGAAGGTGAAATACAAAATTTTCTGTTAGTGCTGATGGAATTTGGGAGATACTGATGGGTGAAAATTTGTGAGACTCGATAACAACACTCCCTTTGGAGACTTTGAAGCAATGGGTTCTAGGGAGAGCAAATTCAGGCTCATAAGATCCTGGAGCAAATCTCTGATTCATAAGGGAAAAAAAAAAAAGGGCAAACTAACCTAGCAGCCTGTTGTGCTACAGTAAACGTGCACCTTTCAGTATTGATTTTGAAGTGCACTTTCATTCTGAAAAGAGGATTGTTTTATTAATGGCATATTTTTATGCAATAGGTCATATTTAGTTGCATTTTAAAGTTCATTTTGTCATTCTGAAGTAATAATTATTTATTTTCAGCCAGCAGGGTTAAGGAGAAGTGAAAAGGAATGTGTTTTGTCTCGTGCTCTACTAATAAAATCTTCTAAGTTATTTTGCATAAGTGGTTGTCCCATCACACTGGTTTATGTGGATCTTATTGCTAAGGTTTAGGGAATATTTGCTTTTTGTGGTACTTGCAACCATCTGCTTTTATTCTCAGCACATTATATTTGACATATGTTACCTAGAGCTATTTAATTTTTTCTCAACTGCCAACCAAGTTATTTCTGGTTCATTTAATCTTCATCAATGTCTTATTTCAGGATTATCTTTTTGCCTT